TTCTTCTTCAAGACTCAGACCACCATATGCTTCCACTTTTTTCTCTCTCCCTCTTTTTTTTTTTTTTTTTTTTAATCAGGGGAGCTCAGTCCATTGGATCCCTGTATAAATATCAAATATATGGAGACAGTTGCAGAAACTCAAGCCAGCGCACCCTCGGGCCCCTGCGTCCCCCTCTTGTGAGTATTTATCGAGGCCGGGGAGGCCTCTCTGCAGTGGGGTCAGCACTAACGATGGTAGTAGCTGATGTTTATTGAGTGTTTACTATACCCAGACTAAGTGTTTTATGTGTGCTGGGATTTTTAGTCCTCCCAGTAACTCTATGAAGGACAGATGAGAAAACTCGAACGCCGAGATGTGTTAAACAACTTGCCCAGGACGGCCATTCCGGCGCAGCAGTGACGCCACACGACGCGTGGCCGCCATCTTGCCCCGCATGACTGGGCCCTGGGCGCCCGCGCAGGCCTCGCGGGCTCATAGCTGCGTGCCCCGCCCGAGCACCCCATTTCCTCTTAGGAGCGTGCACCTCCATTCCCAAGGGACTTGTGCCCCTTTTCTATGCCTAGTGGACACTGCACCCTCATGGGGAGGGGGGTGTTGAGGAGTGACGATCTGGGACGCCTTTACAGGCTGGGAACCATAAAATGCATTTGGTTCGCAACTGAGTCTTTCTCAGAGCCTCCCATACACCTGACAGAGAAATAGTAAGAAACAATTAGTCTCCATCAAGCACATATTGTTTATGATACTCATCTGATGATGATGAGGGCAAAGGTGTGCATAGATTCTTGCCCTCAGTCATTTTAGAAGCTCCATCCCCTTGCGCGCACAGACACACTTCTGGGCTTCTGTGTCGCCGTGGGACGCTGTTGAGGACAGTCAGAAAAAGCCAAATCTTGACTTAGAAAAGGTCTGGGCCCTTCATAAGCGCAAAGAGCAGATCTGGGAAATAACAGGAGCCCCCCCAGTGGGTTATGTGGGAGGGTGTCCCGTCTGGGAGGATCCCATGGTGTTTCCTTCTGTGGTTCTATGGGGTGCAATCCCCCCTTTCTGCCTTTTGACGAGACTTCACCAGAGATGTCCTTTCCTTCTGGTCCTCATAATGGGAACAGCCTCTTGTTATATGTGTGGAAGTTGGGGGTGGGAGGAGTACCCCAAGGTCCTGGCAGGGAATGGGCTGACCTCTGACCACAGAGAGCTTACACATTCTTGTGCAGCTTAAAGCATTTGTCAAGAAATGATGATGGGGCCTCCCTGGTGGTGCAAGGGGTTAAGGACTGCACTATGAAGCAATTTGCAGCCTCTGCAGCACTAGTTCGATCCCTGGCCTGCACTGGAGCAACCCACATGGCACAGCAGACCTCTCTTGACTTACCTGCTGCTCCCCTCAGCAGTGTATTTCAATCAGTCTGCCTGTTCTGTTCCCCACTCTCTTTCTGCTGAATTGTCTCACCCCCCACACCTCTGGCCTGTACCCAGTTCTTGTAGCATAAATAAGTAAATCTTAAAAAAAAAGAAATGATGATGCAGAATAAGCAAATACAAGGTTAAAACAGCAATAAGAAGAGAGAGTGAGGACTCAAAAAGCTGAAGATGGTTTCTGTGTGTCCTATAGGCAGAGGGACATAGGATGGGAAGGGAATTTGTGGGAGGTGGGGGTGCTGTGTATGTGTGAGGAGGAAAAACCTGACCCCCACTTCTCTTGTACTTCTATCTCCAGCTCCCCTGCCCTAGCACACCCATCAGCTTGGGGCAAACCAGGAAGTTGGTCAAGGGAGCACCATCAGGAAGAGAGGAAAGGCCTCAGCTCTGCAGTCTCTCCTCTTTACTGTTCTCATGTCTCACTGTGGCCCACCAGCACCGGGGAAGGCTCCCCAAACTCCGCTTTCTAAATAGCACAGTGGAACGCCTAACAGATGATAAGAGTTGCAGAAGGTAAAATAGTAGCTATTAGGGGAAAGTTTTAAGATTATGGAAAGAAAAGAGAATATCCACCTTTCTCTTTGAAGCTAAGTAAATGATTAGTCTTATCTATCTGACATATTTTGCTCACATGGGTTTGGGGGTTGTTGTATAGAATTATAATTTTCTCCTTGATGCTCGCAAAGATAAGCTGGCATCCCTGTGGGTGGCAGGCAGAGCTTTCCCGGAGGCAGAAGGGCACTTTCTGACTTCTCTCCCTGGGAAATGACAAGGAAGCAGACAGAGGGAGGTTCCGCACAGGTGGAAGAGGTGCCATCTTCCATTCTCCACATGGATTTCTCAGCTACCCATGTGGGGGGAATCTCTGCTTCCCACCCCGTGCTGTCATGTAAAGACATATTGGGTGGACCATGAACCAGGTGGGAAAGTGCCAGGCAAGCTGGGGGGTTGCGGGTCCTGTGCCCGCAGCATGCCCCATCTTGTCGCTCACGCTTCATTTATCATGTTCTCTGTTCACTTTCCTTATCTTGTCTCACACCACCTAGTCAAGCCATTCCAATACTGCAAACTTATCTCAGATATTTCAAAATATTTAATAAGTACTGGCAACCTCTTGGGTCACCATAGATGGGGCAGAGGTGATCAGGAACATTCCCACCGCCAACCCCCAAACCGGGGGAGCCACATTGTAGAAGCCAAATCTCCCCAAAAGGAGCATCTCCTTGGAGTCTAGATGGTGACTCTGTTTGATTTTCTGGGAATCAAGGAATGTCTTATTTCCTTTTATGTGGTCCAGGTTCTGAATAACAGATCTCTGGATATGACTTTCTTCTAGAGCAGGTGTTTGGCAATTTGACTTGAGCCACCACTTTTGGAGAAGGACCTGTGAAGACTGCCCTCCACGGCAGGTATCTGGCTCCCACAGGGAGGAAGGCTGTCATCCCCGGGCCCTGACAGGGCCTCCAGCATCCTGCCTTCTCTTGAGTGGGAGTAACTGGACAGTGCGCCAGGCAAGTTCTCCTGCCAGAAATAAGACTCTGTGTGTTGTTGGTTTGCAGGGCCCACCCCTCACCTCCTTCCCAACCAGCTCCCCCATCATAATCACTGGTGTCAGGCTGAGGTTCCAAAGGAATGATGAAAAATGAAAAAAAAAAAAGGCACACAATCATTTGGAAAAGATCATATGAACCTGGAGGTGTTTGGTGTCATGAGGACGAAGACGCTGGTGTCTATAGAACTTAAGCTATTTCTGGGCTCTTTCACACGAGCATTGCAAAACCTTACCTTAAAGAAGAGGGTAGAACTAGTACATTTTGAGTCTTGGACCTGTGGGACCACAGAATGATCCAGAATAATCTGGCTAAACTAGATTTTTATTTTTTTACTCCAGAAAGAAAAAACAAAATCTGCCTCTTATTCCCAGCTCTCTCTCTCTCTCTCCTTAAGGAACCATAACTGATATCTTGAGCTAAAGACCCAAGGCCCAAGAAGAGCCTGGATAGAAATCCTTGGCCAGCACACACACAGAGGCCCTGGCTCCAAGGGCTGGTCCCTCACTCCTGCTGGTACGTGGAGGCCAAGGAGACAGTTTTCTCCCTGGATCAAAAGTGTCAGGAAGGTGAACGAAGTGACATCTAGCAGTTGACATAGTTTTGAGGCATTCTGTGCAGAACTTAGGAAGCCAGTCCTGTGCTTCGGGAATCTAGCAGAATGTTCCATGGTGTGTAAACAGTGTTCCTGACTTGCACTGTCAGGATTCCCATGAAAATGTCAAGATTGAACTTAAGTCACACCCGAAGGATTCGGGTAGAACCTCAGGTCACCAAGCAAATTACCCCCCCCAAAGACCAGCTCGGTTCCTGACTGGAAGATTGATAAATCTCTAGGAGAAAAACCATATCAAAAGATTAAGTTTGGTTTAATTAGACCAAAAAAAAAAATAGAAAAAAGGATAACCATCAATAGAGATAAATCTTTCTGAAATTTTAGAAATCAGACTTCAGCATCTGCAGCTGTTCATTTTCACAGCCTTCTTAAGATTTATACCCACAGTTTTATTGTAATCATTAATCTAGATGATCTAAGATTATGTTATTGCATTAAAGGCTAACGTGATGAAAAGATCAAGGCATTTAATGAAGTGCAAAATTCATCCCACTTAAGAAAAGCAACACTTTGCTCCCAAGGGAAACCCAGGCAGAAAAGGAGGCTTTTTCATGAAAGTTATTTGTTTTTGTTTAAAATTCTGGATGGCAGGATACATTTATGTCGTTTTCACACATAAATAGCAACAAGTGTCAATGAAGCAATTGAATTCCTTGGCACCCAGCCTGACTCTGCAGCTGGCTATCTTCTCAGCTTTATGAGCTACATCAGTAAAGTTGCTGTGGATGATGCAGGGGCAGAGAGAGAGAACTGCAAGGCTGCCCAGCGTTGGCTTAAAAGGTAAAACACCTCTCGGGGCTTAGAAACTCTGCTCCACCACAGTTGCCGCTCAGCTGCTTCATCTGACGTTTCTTGCTTAACTTATGTTAACGCATGTTCAGTTTCTGGGATGTCACCTGCTTAGTTGTGGCTAAAATCCTATTTGCTGTTTTAAACCATCGTTCCCTATTTTTTCTTTCTGAAATCATTTCTTTTTTATTGTGCTAAAATGCACCTAACATAGCCTTTACCGTTTTAGTCATGTTGAGGTGCACAATTAAGTGGCACTAAGTAACGATCCCACATTTCTTTCTTCATGGTAAACATTTAGATAAGCATTAAGAAAGGCAATTTGAAAAGAAAATACCCATGATAAGGATGCTAAGGAGGAATGTGGCCACATCCATTTAAATGGTATACCCCTAGGAAGGGATTGTGATAAAATAATTAATTTTACTGAATTCTTTCTGTATATAGTCATGGTTTTGTTCTTGTCAGTTCAACCTTCTGCCTGAAACACAGAATCTTGTTCAAACAGCAGCTTTTAGTCATAATGAGGCCTACCTCGAGGTCAAGGAAACAGGCCCAAAGTAACTGGGCAAGAAGTATTATGACCTCATAGCTCATGTGCAGTTTCTGTGATGTCGCCAGAATCCTAGACACACACGGAGCGTTTTCCACAACTTCTTTCCCTCTTATTATAAAGATTGTAAGATTCCTGGATAGCCAAATAAAAGGAAGTTGTTACGAATGTTCAAAAAGAGTAAAAATAAAGGAACAATCTTCTGGACAAACTATAGACCTCACATAGGAGTCGTTCTAGAGAAGTTGATGATATGGGGTGGAAGCAGGATCTTTCCAAAGTAGGAATCTCAAAGCATTTATCCATTTTTGTTTTGTTTTGTTTTTTCTAACCAATGCAGGGTTTTCAACAAATCGACTGGTGGAGGCTTGCTTACCAAGACACGTCACACTGGACGACAGCACGACCTATGGGAAGACAGCAGATGGCAGAGAACATTCAAGAAACAGTTGGCCATTTCAATCAAATGCCAATCAAAATATGAATGGGCTCTTCCTCTGGGCCTGAAATTCAACATTTTCATGAACACCGCCTGATGTCAAATACCAACCTTTCTGGAAAGATGTACATCCACTTCTGTACAACTCATTTCACTCACTCAGATGTGCCAATACTTTTTCACCTCTATCATCTATTAGCTCATCAAAGGCAGAGTTCACGTCATGTTCATCCTCACGGTGAATGTCAAAAAGTAGAAGTAATTGACTCAAACCTCACACTCTGAGGGCTTGTAAAACCACATGCATGTTTCTTGCAGCTTGTAGAGACACTTTGACAACAAAGATGGGGTTAGAAAGGCAATCACAAAGAAGGTGAGGGGCATGGCTCTGCCTGCATCCGCAGGGGAAGCATGGGCGGGGTAGAGAGGAGCCTGAGAGTTTGCTGTTGTCCTTTTCCCCAGGGCAAACCGAGAAGAGATGTCCCAGGAGGGCTTCGCGGTGCTGGAGGTCAGCATGGGTGGAGGCAGGTGTCTGCAAAGATCCCACGAGGTTTGAGTTAAAGCAAAGTAGGAAATGAAGACTTGCTGGTACAAAGTGAAGGATGACAACGGATTCCAGTTTTGAGCATGTAATAGTTGCTGAAAAATGTCATGTCACTCTTTAGGCACGAATGCTTCGCAGCAGATGTCTCTGCAGGAGAAACACCCGGCCTGGGGGCAAGGAGCCCGGAGGACGAGCTAGCAGTTGCATGATCAAGGCCTGCCTCTGACACTAATTGGTTGTGGAGGCTCGAACAAGGACATAAATTCAGTGGCTCTCAACTCCCCTCTGAAACAAGGCCATGTGGGCGCTGGAGGACCTCTCTGGAGCTCTCACAGGGCATCACGCTGTAAATCGTAGAGAGCAAGTCAGCCCCACGACACTGCTCCTCCAGATCAGCCGTGGCCTAAACACCTTCCTGTGCGAGACCCCAGGCAGGAGAGAGGGCCCTGGCTCCAGGGCCTTCCATGCCCAGAACTGAGACCTGTCCAGCAAGTCTCCCAGGCTCGTCGGGGTGCTGAGCCCTGTTTGATTTCTGCGAGAAAGCAGAAGAACCTCGCCCTGATGGCCTTTGTGCCTCAGCCCTGATTCCACGCTCACCTTCTAGGTGAGGCGTTCACTCCGCAGTGACCCGCCCAGCGCGACAAGTGGCCGCTGCCCCACTCTCAGCCCCACTTGCTCTGTCCCTTTGTAAAACATCAGAATCGTGGCAGAAAATCCTGGGGGGGGAGAGGAGGAGAAGAAACAAGGAAAAAAGTCTTTCTTATTCTGGCACGTCTGGCATGCATTAGGCCGGCAGCGGGTGAAATGTGTAAATACCTCGATGCATATTAAAGACTGTTTAATAGAAACCTTCCCCTGTGCATGCTTAGCCTTTAGCAGAGCTTTTGAAAATAAATCTCGGAATGTTTTATTTTCTCTTTATTATTTCCACTTAGCAGCGTTCTCCTGCCACCCGTGAGGTGATCCTCTGCGCGGCTTGAGACTCCCCGGCTGCGTGTGGCGTCCTGCATGACCATGGGAAGCTTTGGGACACATCTGGCAAGGATGGACCCGAGAGGCCGCCATGGTCCCCGTGTCAAGCTTAAGTGTGGAGGAGGCTTCACCTGCTGGGTTTGTGTAACTGAACCCTCAGGTGTTCACCCCGATCAGTCCCTGCGGCCTCACTTCTCAGGGTGTCCCCTATGGTCGGCTGAGCGCACGTAACTCTTGGCTTCAAGGAGTTCTCACCCCACCTGCCTTGTCATCCTGCTCTTGTCTGCGCTTTTTTAATGCTTTGGGAGCAAAACAGTTGGGTTTTATTTTTTTTAATTTGTCTGTCATTAGCATAATGTCATCTTGGGGTACAGCTGCTCCCCGATGTGTGCACCTCTACAGTGCTTTTGTGACAAGTCCCTAAGGGCTAGGAGGAGGCAGGCTGGATGTGGGAGTCTGGCCAATGACCTTGCGTCCCTGGGGGACAGTGTCCTCTGCAGTGTTCCAAGGCAGCTTTGTCAATGTAGCCCCCCAACTACAGCCCTTCTGATGTGGCCCCCTGCAAAGATAACACTGACCCCCCACTCTCAAAATCCCTGGAACCTGGGCACATTGAGAAAAAGGCCTCAGAGGCAATGAGCTTCCCTTTTTCTCTGCCTTTTTACCAGTTTCAATCTCTTGAGAGGCTTCATTTTGGACGCTAGGTAACAAACGACCTATCTGTGTGGAAAAGCTCAGAAAGACAGTTGTCACAGAGTCCTCAGCTTTACAAACTGTATTGGCTTCGACACTCATTATCTCTGTAAGTGCTGTTTTGCAGTGCTCACTTTACAGCTGAGGAAACTGAGGCACAGAGAGGCTAGCCAGATGACTGGAAGTCACACAGCCAGCATGGTTATACGCAGGCCAGGGACGAGGTTAACCGCAGACCGGGGAGCCAAACAGCACCTGTTCCTCACCACCCACTTTGGGCTTGCTCCTCTCCCAGATAACCTGTGCATAGGGAGGCTGGCCCCTGGGAAAGAGAAACCCCCCCAGTCAGTGCCTTGTGGGTGGTTCCCTCTCCAGACTTTTAGGGCTCATTTGCCTCTGCCCTTATCTCCCCTAAATAAGTTCCCTGGTGACACTCCATCATTCAGCCTGACTCCGATCCTGAGTCAGTTCTACCTGCAGCAGGAGGCAGCTTCTCCCTCCTTGGGGCCTAGCGGATGTTGGTTAAGAAATGCCCCCAGACCCAGCACCTTCTGGGCGGCCAGTCTGGTGGTGGCCACTGTTACCGTATATGCAGTTTCCAAAATTATAATGTGTCTGCTTCCTTGGTGAACCCTAGGGGCCAGGACGACAGTACTGACACCATCAAGGAACAGGGAGAAACCACAGAAACAGCTCTAAGCGTCGGCTCTCTCTGGACACAGTAGAATGTGAGTGATGCCACCGTCAAGCTCCCGAGAACCTCAGACAACTGCCCATTTCACCCAACTCAGGTGAAGGCATCAAAGAACAAAAACTCAGGGTGAATGACAGTTCCTGATCGCTTAGCAAATATGGGTGTTAACTTTAATAATGAAACAAATCATTCAGATGACAAGTCAAAATGCAGTGACCATGAAATTCTAGATCTTAACCTATCACATCTTTATTGGGATGCTTTCTATTACTAAAGTAAGAAGTGTACCATGTAGAAATTTTAGAAATTGTGTACTAGCAAAGCAAAGACGAAATGGTATCTTCTGTGAGTCCATGACCCCAAGATGATTAGAGTTAGCAATGGGTGTGTCATTCAAGTCCTGGCACCCTCGCTTGTGTGTGTGCACATGTATTTGTGTGTGCAACACATATACACATGCATGCATGTACATATCCATGTGAATGTGCATGCCATGAACACACACATATGTATAAGTATGCTTGTGTACACATGGACATGTGTATACACATATAACACATGTGCATATATGTGGGTCATGCTAAGTACGCTATTATAATCATTTTTATTTCCAAACTCATGCCATGTGTGGCAGCATGGATGGAGCTGGAAGGGACTGTGCTAAGTGAATTAAGCCAGAAAGAGAAAGGTAAGGCCGGATACTGTCGCTTATATGTGACAGTATATAGAGGACCCGAACAAAGGTCAGGCAAAGACAAGCTTTGTGCATTAAGGGTTGATTTAAAATCAACCCTTAGCCACTGACCATTGATCTGAGATATCCAGGGGGGAAGAAGAGAGGGAGGAAGAGGAGGAAATATCAGGGGGAGGGGAGCACAATGGAGGATGGTGGAGGACGCGGGTGCTGTGGTGGTGGAGAGCTGCCGTGACCACACCAGAGGGGGGACATCCCATACTGTCAAATTATCAACAAGGGTATAAATCAATGATACTTCACTAAAAAATAAAAAAATCAAAATTAAAAAAGATTAGCAAAAATATTTTTTAAAAAAAGAAGACCAAGAATTATTTTTTAACCACTGACAACCAAATAAATAAATTAATAAAATCTGGGAAAAAATGTTTCTGATTCACAGATGTCAGGGATATCTTTGCATGCTGTTAGCTAGGCATGTGGTTGTGTAATGATTAGTCCCGGGTCTGGGGTCTCACTGGTAGCCCCAAACTGCCCCCAGACCCCGCTCCCCCCTGCCCTCTCCAGGCTGCCCTCCTGCCCCGGAGGAAGACACCTGAGCGGCTGAGGACAGTCTGTCCACACGTCCCCTACGCGCGTTCCCTGCCTTTGCCTGCACTGTCTCGGCAGGACGAACTCCTAGGAGTATAAATAGGGGCTCCAAGACCAGGGGGCCCTTGAGACTCACTGTTACACTGCACTCCAGAAGCTTCTGCTAGTCGGCAGCCCCTCCAGCACCGCGTGTGCCCCCTGCCGCCATGGCGAGTGCAGCAAACCCCTGTCTGCACGTGCTGGGAGCGGCACGGTTTACAATTTGGAACTAATTTGGACCATTTTACTTAGAAGTTGTTTCTTCTTAAGAGATGTGTGTCTTTTTCCTTCCTCTTGTGGTTTTGGCAACAACAGTCATCTTTTCAGCCAAATTCGACTAAAGAAGCAGCGAATGAGACATGTGGACAGGGAAGGCCCTTATCACGCGTCTCCATCCCGTGGGTGCCCCGCACCAGCCCTGCCTGTTGTTGGTGAGAATACACTGCTTAGGCGGGTTCCCAAGACAGCTCCCTGACGTTTGGAGAGCTCCCTGCTTTCCCAGGCACGCGGCGGGGCGCTAGCCGCCGTCAGGAGGTTGCAGGGGTGGACGACAGCCCGGGATGTCGAGGCAGGCCGCGCCGGGACCCAGGCCCGCTGCATGGCGGGGGACTGGTCACTCCCCTGAGAGCCTGTCTTTCCTCAGGTTTAAATGGGAGCGGAGTGAAATTAAACAAGCCCTTCTCTCTGGCTCCACGAGCCCGTGTGTGCGTGGAAGCATTGACGAAAATGGTATCTGTGTTGAGTTTATAAGGACACATTTGCATCCTAGAAGCCTGTGTCAGGGTGGTGGGGTTGCCACCACCAGGGCCCACACGCCAGATGCTGACCCCATGTGGATGCGCTTCTTCCAGGCTCTGGAGGCTGGGACTATGAGGCCAAGGTGTTGGTGGAATTGGTTCCTGCTGTGTCCCTTTCCCTGGGCGTGGACTTAGACAGGTCTCACTTGTCTTCGCGTCGCTTCCCTCTGTGTGTTGCTGGTTCCAAATTTCCCCTTTTATAAAGATGTCAGTCACACAGGACTAAGATCCATCCTGGCAACCTCATTCTCACGTGATGGCCTCTGCACAGACTCTGTCTCCAAATAAGGTCAAGTTCAGAGGTCCTGGGGTTTGGACCATTGCTCTGAGTTTCCAGAACACACTCAGCCCATCATAATAGCTACAGCTCACTGGTAACCTCTGCTGTGACAAACTTTAATTGCTGGGGAGACAAGTCTGGAGGGGATCTGCTCCACCGGGACCCACTACCTGCACCCCCCCAACCCTCCCTCCAAGAAAGCAGTAGCAAACCCTGATGTCATCTCATCCCAGAGGATGAAATGAGTTTTAACTCAGTTCCACACATTTCAGCTTACTTTTATTTCCTCATGCACTCATGTATACACAGACCATTGGGAAATACAGTTTATAAATTTCCTCAGTGAATGAGGGTAAAGGGTTAAGCTCAGCTTCCCTTCACCCAGATGGCCAACCCTCCAAAAAGGTGAAGGAAAATTTCACAGGAGCTGAACTAGAAAGAGAAAACCATTCCTGGCTCCAGTTGGAGAATCATAGCATCACACTGTTGGGCTGAAACTCAAGTCCATTTAAGTATCACATCTAATAATCATACAAATGTCCATGCTTCGGTAAAATTTGCAAAGAAAGGAAGTAAATTTCATAGATCATGTTCTCATGGTAGATCAGACTCTCTGCTTTCACATAACTTATTTCCCTTCAATATAGATATGTTTTAGGGTATTAAACATTTTGAATGATCTTCCTTAATGCTTTCACTCAAACATTCAAATCAAGGCTGTCTCTTCATATTAATTAGCGTAAAGATCAGAAATTTCCCCCACACTGGGGACCAGTTATGGAATAGCCCAGTCAAGACTTCAGCCTCCTTTGTCCCTCGGTTTTTTAATCCAAAAAAATGGAGATAATTGGCTCTGTTTTTTTTATCTCCTACTAAGGGCTCTGAGTTAACTAGATAATTCCTTACATAAACATTGCCTGTAAGTGATTAGGATTAAAATGTGTTGTTTCCTACAAACTCAGTCAGCCCAAAGGAAAACTTTGTGGAAAGTTTACTGTGAGTGACAAATGTGGGTTGAGAATTACAAGTTTAAAAATGTTAAGAAAACGGAGATAAACCATTTCTCAATGCTATTATAAAATCCACTGTGTGTTTTAAATGAGGACATTGGGGAGTTTTTCCTTGAGCTTCACATAAACGGTCATGATGGGGATTTGGAATGAAGTAGATCAGGCACTCATTTACCAGCCATGACTTTCTGGAAATGGATGTACCGGAATCCCAGGACACAGAGTCTCCAACTGGGTTACCAGAATTGAAGGGATGACCTCTTCTTCCAATGCCATCCTTCCTGCCTTCCAGCTGGAGTCCTGCACAGTCAGTGACTAACAGAAAAATCCCCTGTTTACATCTTCTCCCCAATGACTCAGGTAAATGAAGATGGGACCCTGAGAATGGTGAAACCACTCCA